GATAAAAGAATATTTCAAATCGGTTTATAAATGACGAAGTAATAGGGTTACAAACATAAAAAAATATATCTACTACCGAATGGAAAACTTCCTCTTTTGTGAAGTCCGCTGAAAATGACATTTTATTTTATAAATAAAAAAATTATGATATAGTTTTAATTTTATGGAATTTAAAATGGCAAACAAATTATTGAGATATGCAGTTCTGATCATTAATATGCCAAATATCTCAAGACACATTTCAAAATTGTGAGTTACTCTTAAAGGACAAATTAAATAACTACTTATTTATAATTTTTTAATTGTAGCCATTTCATGACGGAATTATTGACAAAATTGTAAATTAAAAATGAAACAAAAAAGTACCTCTTGTTACGGTAACCAATTTTAATCTATTACTTTTTAATTACTACCAGTATAATAGATTCGAATTGATAGGTAGCGGCCTATTTATACTTAACAAATTAATAATACATGCCTACATCTATTGGTTATTCTATCGACAAAATCGTAAATTACACATTACACTAATTTCATTCACTGTATATCCTTAGCAACACGGGAAGACATTGGTATTTGACATGGATTTCTACGTAAATCTTTTCCATTTGTTAGATATCAGGCATCTTAATCGAATTGAAATATCTAGAATTGTAAAATACTTTACATCACTATTTATATTTGTCGCTGAAATTTATATAGGTATTTATTTTATATCAAAATGAAAAAAGATATATATGTAATTTTTACTGTAATATAATTGTATTTGACTTATCACCTTAAAATTTGACACATAATATAATTTTTCATGGAGGCTTATATGCTATCCACTTTGATATAATTAACCACTAAATGCAGCACATTTGTACCGTTTAACCGATTGCCATGAGTACATAATATACCTATACATTAGTAGGAGAAAGTCAACAGGGTTTTGCTAGTCGTTTAGGAAACAGAACTGATTAAAATAACCTGGAACAGTATAAGAGGACAGAATTTTGCATTATCATTCTTGGGAAGGAAACTTTTGTCCTCGCTATACAAATGAATCCTAATGAGGACAAAATCTACGAGCTTCTTCAATCATTCTTCAATAGCTATTCTAAAGTTAATCCTTTAAAACACTAATAAAGCCAAGTTTGCGTATATAATGAAATGAACGAGAGCGATAGGTAAATAATGTTTTTAATTCAAAAAATAAATATAAATTGTGACAAGTGAAAGATTATTTTTTCTCTATCTGATTGGTTCTTTATTTGATAAATGGGCATTCTTTATTTATGTATTTATATAATTATTTATTTTATGTTAATTTGCCTATAATTATATATATGTTCTAGTATTAGGTAAATTTTTAACATGTCTGGAATTATATATTATATATAGTTAATCACTTTATTATTACTTAACGTTTTATTCTGTTAAGTTTCTTAATTATACAATACCTACTTGTACAATAATTAGTCCATTACCCTAAGGTTGTCTTGAAAAGATTGCTCTCAGCAATAAGACCGCTTTACTGTACCTATACAATTGTATCGTTATATTTATTAATTGTGTTGTTTTCCCCCTATATTGTATAATCCAAATAAAGTATACTCATTCATTCATTCATTCATAAATAATTTGTTATTAATAATTCTTTTTTAAAACCCACTTATAAATAATATACGCAATTATATTTTCATACTGGTTTGTTTGTCCACATATCATCTACGTTCAATAGAAACAGTAATAAAATGTATCTGATGCATTATTTGTCATGATAGCAAAGAATAAACTAATTATTTTATATAGATACTATACAATAGAATGATTTTTACCAAAATATCAAGATGATTAGAAATTATTATTGACAATGAAATATATAAGGTACATCATTAAGTACACAAATTTGTCCTAATGACTATAAAAAATTATTTTCTGAAACATTAACCTATAAATAAACTTCTTAATTACAAAAACTATAATGTCATATATAAATAATATACAGTTAGTACTACACATATGTAAAAATCAATTATAAATAACTAGCTGCCCGCCTTAGCTTCACACGCATATTCTGAAGACGATAATTAATATTGTGTCCTAAAAAATAAGTCGACTTCTATAGGAACATAAACATTTATTTTGATTTAAAAATTGAACTACTGAACTGATGTTGATAAAATTTCTACAGGACCAATCTGTAAGTACCTATAACCTTAAAGATAAAAAAGAGTTTTTCAAATCGGTCTAGATTTAACGGAGTTATAGGGTAATAAACAAAAAAAAAACAAAATATGACCGAATTAAGAGCCTCCTTTTTTTTAAGTCGGTTGATAAGAGCAAACAATCTATAAATTCTGTCAATAAATTTGAAAATGTCTTACTGTCTTCTAGCTCTCTTACTCACTTTTTGTATACAGGTTTTTAGCCCATTTTTTTCACTTTTTCATACATTCGTCATACATTTCTTTCATATAAACTTTATTCTTGCAATTACAAATAGAACAATAAAATAAACAAATAGGTAAATCCGTTCTGAAGTAATGTTTTCACATATATTCGGCAATTGATTTATTTATACTTTATTGCACCAGTTATAAAAATAATAAATACAGTGAATTTTAATGCGAAGTGATGCAAAAGGCGGCCTTATCGCTTAGTTATCTCTTCCAGACAACCAATAAGAAATTAATAAGTAATAAACAATAAATAATAATTAGTCACTTTAATCAATATATCATTAAAACGCTATCATTAACGCCATTACTATTAAATACGATCTTTGTATGAAAGAATATTATACTTCTGTAATTAATTATATATAGATACTTTGTAACTGTGTTTTTAATCGGCGTTTTATGTAGCTTACGACTATAAAACCTCAATATTTGTCGACAAACCTAATTTTATATATATATATATACTAATTATCTGTACGTATATTATTAAAAAATATTATTTGTTCCTAATCTATATAAATAAATGCATTTTTTTATACAACTTAGAATGACAAACAAGCTGACGGCCCACCTGAAAGAAAGTGGTAACCGTTGCCTATAGACATGAGCAGTACCATGGATATAACAGAGTATACTGTTTCGCCCATGCGTTGCCATTCCTGAGGACTCAGATGTTATTCCTCTGTACCCTATAATATAAATTCACGCCATATCCCACCCTTCAAACCGCTGTTCTGTGTTTCAGCTATGCAAACACAACTGTTTAACGGTAGAAACACGAATGGGACAGAGGTACCCAAGCAATCGACTTTTGTACAAAGTCTCCCTCTGGTAAAAAGATTAATTGCTCGTTGTAATAAAAAAATTAAATATAAATAATATATATTCCTTATTGCATTTGTAATTTACATATAAAATAATGTATTTATAAATGTTGTGAGCAAGGATGGACTTATCTCTGACAGAGATCTCTTCCAGTCAACCCAATACAGTGAGAAAGCATTTCGTTAGCGGGCAGCTGAAGTGCTACAACTATTAATACATAAACAAATATACAGTTAAATAAAATATTAAAATATATAATATAATATTACATAAACACATATACTATAAATAAATATAATACCTACCTATTTATATAATAAATGTTAAAATAAATGAATATACTACTTACATTAGAAATTTAGTTTAATGATTTTAGGATTTGACAGTTCAATTAGGAAAATAAAAAATTATGACTCAAGGGAAAGAAAATTTTATTTTAACCTTTTCTTGAAAGAGGTAATAAAAGGACTCTTTTGTATGTGGAAAGGGAGTTTGTTCCACAACTGGGCAGCTCGATACGAGAAAGAGTTGCTCATAAAATGTGTCCTACACAAAGGAAGTTCGAGCATCCTGGACTGAACTTGACAGGAGCGTTAAGGACGGACTGGTGGTGGCAATAATATTGCCTAAATAAGATTCTCAATTCTAAAATCGTCAAATGGAGACGTCAATTACAAAAAAATTTTCAACCAACTAACTAAAACAATGCAGTCTGGCGGATACAGAACGAGTTTTAACGCGTAAGTCCCTAGATAAAAAAGACCTTTTTATAAATATAATCACCTCCCACGGTTTGTTCTTTGTCAAAAACGAAGTTTGAAATTAGCGCAACCACTTTTTCAAGAAAGCGCTATCTTTGCTTTGACTTTGAAGTCCCTTTGAAGTCGGTCTTTTTTTATTAAAAACAAAAGATACTCGTAAATTAAATATCCATAGAAAATAGAATATAACGGCCTCCCTATATTTTGACATAGAACAATACAAAACAATTTATCATATGGCGATAAAGCTCCATTTCTCATGCTCTGAAAAAAAAACAACACTTAAATAAACTGACTATAATAGCGTAAGCCATTTGTAACGTCTGTTGCGAAAAATAATAAAAGTATACTGCATATTAAATTCCGTACATTTATCGAGAAAACAATAATATGCTCACGACTATAATCCCTCATGAGGAGGTCAAGACCCTTTGTTGCTTATAACTCTTGTGACAAACAGTCACACATATAGACAATTAATTCAATATCATTTTTGTGTAATGTGTGTAATATTAAGATATTTACGTCGAATCCAGAAATAATATTCACAACAATGTTGCCTACAATTTATATTTATATCTCAATTAGTGTAACACTAATATGATTTTAATAACGGAAAACCTTTGTCCATCAGTAGCTTTTCAATTTACTCTAAAATATTAATATAATTATATCAGTATTTTAGAGTATACATAATTATATTTTCCTGACATATTCTGTTAAATATACTCTTTATTACTCCATAAACAGTACCAATCTAAATACAAATGAGATATTAAAATTCGTTATCTACTTAGATATATATATATATATATATATATATATATATATATATATATATATATATATATATATATATATATTATAATATTTAAATTAATATAGATATGTTAGTATTAATATCCCTATTAATTAAGAAACTGATCATTGTATTAAAAATTATTACTAAAAAATTTCTTAGCCTTACCTTATTTAATTTCATGATTTTACATTTATTAGGTCTTCTTAATATCATTTCCAATGTACTAAGTCAATAATAAAATTCACAATCCAATTGCACTAAAAACTTGACTTAACACTACACTCCAAACTTAATTAAAGTGTTTTTTTTTTATTTATTAAGAATCTTTTAATAGCTTTGCTCAAGCGTTGATTATCAACAATAATTACTATGTATATAACGAAGTCACAGTGAAACCTTATCGAGAACGGAATAACGCGTCTAACCTTAAGCACAGTATTCAAAGACTGAATTCCCGCCCGCCCAAAAGCAACGAACAGTGGCGATGGGCGCCGAGTTTTGCCGAACACTCCCCGATTCATAGAAACCCACTCGATGAAGTGGTAAGTTTTTATGAGTGCCCGCTCGGCAAGTGTGGGTGATTTTATGAAACCAGTTCATTTCAGATTCTTTTCATAATAATATAATAGAAAATCGAAAGCTATCAACGTCGTGTTATTACCAATATTTTTAAGCAGGTTTCTTAATTGTACATGTTTAATTTATTAAGAAAAGTGTGAGAACGGTTATAAATGTCACAGTTCTTGTTCTTGTAAATAAATATTTAACTACTACCTTATATTTTTTAACTGTTATTTTGTTATGAATAGAATATAATAAAAATAATCTTTATTAAATGAAAATGTTTGCAGGCTCTTTAATATCGTAATTTTTTATGATTCTAATCCTCGGTTCGGAATATTATTATCTGCTGACACACATAACAAAATTAACAATTTCTTTTTTAATTTGCCTATATACAAGACAATATATTTATATGGGGGGAAAGGGATTGTTAGTAATAGAGACTAAGAATCCCATTGCTAGTAATGTACCCAACCAGGTCGACCTCCTCACGGTTCCCCCTGGAAACTATCATGGTTAATTCCTGATTAATTCATCATAATGGGCTAACTGGCCTGTTTTCATTCTCATCAATCACCCTTCACTGGTGATCCGCCAGCGTATCCCGTTAGCAGGCGGGGTTACCATTCCATTTTTACCAGTGATTCGATTTATATGTATTATTCAATGTGAAATTTCACAACGTATAAACATGAGCAGACCACTTTGCACAAACAGGACCCGTTCACGAGTATGATACACGCAAATTATTATTAACTTATTAGAATTTTAAATTCATTTCTATAAATGACCACAATTTTATTTATTTTATTGTATTTAAATTTATTTTGTGTTCTTACTCGTTTCTATGGCATCAAATCACATATACCACACAATCATGAATACTTACTAAACTTGTAGAATATCAATTCACTATTGTTATTTTAATAAACCTTATAATAATATGACGGATGATTTTCATTTTTTTCTCGATCACGTAGCACTTTTAAAATTCCTGCTGGGAGCGACAGTCCATTCAGACAAACAGAGTCCGACAGTGGCAGTGTGTCATTGAAATTCATGATGCTGTTTATATTATAAAAGATAACCGCTTTTCTTCATGGGTTGCGGGCAGCTTATAAATATATTTTACATTAGCTTTTCGCAATGCCTATATAGATATATAACGAAGAAACCAAATGACTGACTAATATACGTTACCGTGTGATAAATACAGTCAAATTTATAAATTAAAAAATAAGTACATAGGTGTTTTTGTGTGCAGACACTCGTTGAAAAGGCATTTCAAGAAATTCCTATAAAAATAGGTTTCACGCAGCTAAAATTACAGGTAATAATAAATAACTACCAATTCAATATAAAATAAATATATTCCATATATGTGTACTAGATGAAAATCCTATGTACTGAACTTCATTGTTGTATTGTCTTTATGTTTCATAATATACAAAATGATACAGATAATACGATACACTACACACAATACGATACACTACGGTACGATTCTGCATCACTGTGCAGATATGCAATAAACTCGGGATCAACTGTTGGGAGCACTCTTTCAAAAGTATAACAATAGTATCAAAATGAGCCAGCTTTATATGCAGCCAGTGTCGAGGTCTTACTACTTGCTCCGAGTACCATTTTTATTATTAACTTCTCGGTGTCCATTTTTAAGTTTCATTTTTGCCCGAGTCCAAATTTATTATAATGTAAGGTGTAAGTGTTGTAAGAATGTCAGTTCAAGGAAATAAGTATTTGACTAAAACAGAAATTTACTAGTCATGACATTGTTTTGCCAATTTGGTCAAATTAGAACAAAAATATTTATTCTATAATTAATTTATTTGTGTAATTTGAATAATCTTAACAATATATCACACAAATATAATTACATGTGTCATTTTTTAATTTGTTCACATCATTGTTATTATTTATTTATTATTAATATAATTTTAGGTGTAGGCTTATTTAAAGGGTAGCCAGGAAGACCGTGCATACCCCAAAATATGAGCACTAACTTTGCAAATTCATGTCAAAGAGTACATATGCATTATTTTAAAGGCCAAACCCGACAGCGAATAACACCGTCCTTCCCTTCTTCTGATTATGGGTTCGATTCATATTTGTCAAGTAGAACTCGATAAAGAGCCTCGCATTCAAAGTAGAAAGAAAAGTAGTGACTCATCTAAAAATTGTAATATGTATATATAATGAAATATATGTTTTCAAATACCTATATATATATATATATATATATATATATATATATATATATTTTAAATATATATATATATATATATATGTATGTATATATGTGTGTGTGTGTGTGTGTGTGTATTAGGTCCTTACATATTAAATTAGCGTTTTGTCGTACTGACCACTTTGATCTGAAATATCTCCTCTTTGGTTAAGAATTTCAAATTCTAATTTATAAATTCATTTAGCTGGTACATTTGAGTTTTAAAAACAGTCATTCATTTGTTGTTTCCTCATTATTTTTTTTTTCCTTGGCGTTGTTTATTACCGCACCCTGAAGCACTTGAAGCAAATCGGAAAAGTAAAAAACTTGAATTATGTGTACCTCATGAATTGAGTGAATCGAACTTGCAAACACGCGTCGACTGCTGTGTTACTTTGCTCAACCGACACAATAATAAAGAGATTTTAAATCGAATCACTACTTGTGATGAAAAGTGGATACTTTACGATAATCGGAACTGCTCGTCACAATAGCTAAACCCTGGAGACCCAGCGAAATCCTGACCTAAATGAAAATTGCGTCGCTGTTGTTCACTATAGCTTTCTAAAATCTGGCTAAACAATTACGGCAGATATCTACTGTTAGCAACTGCAAATCATGAAGAAAGAACTAGCTGCTAAACAACCGAGATTGATAAATCGCTCTAGACCACTGCTGCTCCACGACAACGCAAGACCACACACTACACAACAAACAATCCCTAAGTTAGATGAGCTACAATTAGAATGTCCGCGACATCCACCATACTTCCCGGACCTTGCTCCAAGAGATTACCATTTTTTCCAGAATTTGAACAACTTCTTACAAGGAAAAAAATTCAACTCCGACGCAGCAGTCCAAACCGCCTTGGAGATGACAAAAATGCAACGAGTGATAACAACAGTGCATGCTTTGTTTATTTAAATATATTTTACAAAAAAATTGACTTTATATTCCTCCCGTACAAAACGACAATTTCATATGTAAGAACCTAGGTGTGTAGGTAAATAGGTTAAGGTTTGAAAATATATATTTGATTGTGTAAAGAGAATTTCAGGATTATTATGTTAGATAGTAAATATTATTTCTGCAACGATACGTTTGTAAATAGGTCTGATTTTCAAATGGAAATTCCAAGATGTATAAAAGGCAACGCCATAGTCGACTTACTTACCGTTCATAAATAAACAAGAGAGGCACTCTCATTTCTAAATCACTCAATTTAGACTAGCAAGATCCCTAGCGTTTGTGTGGTTTACGCTCCTGCTGCTTTTTAAAGTGAAATTAAGTAATTAAGAGACGCCATGATGTACCATACTACAACCAACAGGCAAGGAAATGGTATTCGCTAACAAGGAAATAATATAATCAAAATCTTGTTTGACCGTTATTTCTAATCTACAAAATATAATTAAAAATAAATTTAATATTTTGCAATTTCTGTCAATTCTTTCCCTTTTATTTACGACGAAATTATAATATATTTTTGTTATTTAAGTATAATGATTATTTTACGCCTAATAAATCATATATAACACAACTGTGATGAACATTACATTTATCTCGTATCATAAAACTTATTTGATTACATGATGTAGCAGGAGTCATGTCTACGCAATATCTTTCATTAATAAAGTATGTTTATTGATGCTAGGTATTTAGTTTGTGACAATAAACACGGTAACCAAAGAGAAAATTAAGAGGAAATCCAAATTAATAAGGAAAATTCTAAATCAAAATGGTAGTCAAATCAATGTTTTTTTTTTTTTTTTGTAATGAGTTACTAGATATTATTAAAAAAATAAATGCTTATTTTACTCCTCAGATTTCAATATACTCATTACTAAATTTCATTAAATTCAATTCAACCGTTTAGCCGTAAAAAGCAAATAACCAGATCAATCACCTTTATATCAACTTTAGTATGAATAATTGAACGTCGACAAATCTCAATTCTGAGTGTATACCTAGAAATGATTCGAGACATTTGTCTACTTTCAATTATTCATATTAATCTCATTATATACACAAAAATTTATTGAGTTAAAGTCGAAGGTACCTATTCAGTTAAAAGTTGAAACCAGTTAAATCAGAGTGGAGGGACAGAATCAGACTAACGAACCGGACCGACCCATTACTTCGACAGACGGAGCTTTCATATCTTTCCATACATAGCTACACGCTTGATGCTATGTGCTTACCACAAATATGGATTGAAATAGATGTAGCTATCGCATGTGCTTTGTGTATCAATTTTACGTCTAAATTAAACTCAGTATTTCTTAATCGGCTTTTACAACATTTGTATTATGGCTTACAATTGATAAATATATCATTACATACGTAGTACAGACTTATTAATTTTTGTATATTACGCTATTACACACTGACTGACTATCTAGATATGTGACATGTGCAAAGTAATAATACAAAATACCATCTATACTTATTATTATCTCTGTATATTTATAATTACGTCAAACAGACACCAATGTGAAAAAATGCTATTTATTTAAAATTATATTTAAATTCACGAGTTGCAATAAAATGTATCTAATTGTTCCCGTTAAGTTTTTTTACAGTATTAATAGAAATTTAGAAATTTGTAGACCTCTATTATCTACAAATTGAGTCATGTCACCAGCATATTCT